TATATGATTATGTGTTAAGTTATTTAAAATTGGTTATATCATATTAACATGAGTTATCTGTTTTATAAGAAATAAAACCTTGTGATCATTGGTAGTATCAAATCATGGTGGAGGATTATCATCATTCTCTGTAATATTGGCAAACTATGAAAAAAATTTGCAAGAATAACAAGTTAGAAATTGTTGCTATTATTGCCAGTACTTCTATTATTGCTATTACTGTACCGTTATTATCAATGTTCCTACATTCGTTGTAGATATCTGTCCACTTTGAGTCGATGTTGGTATGTTTGGTATATTAATAGTAGGTATAAAAGAACTAGTACCTGAAGATGCATTGGCTAGATTGTTCATAACCTGTATATAGTCGAAATAAAATGACCTGTCAGACACGGTCAAGGCTAATTGGTTTGAAATCAAACTATCATGATGCTTATTGTTTTTTTCTCCAACCGATGTATCTGAAGAGTGAGAAAACATATCACTATTAAAAGCTGATTTTGACATATCGGAGACACCAAATGGTCTTGAAATACTCTGGAATTTTGGCATGACAAGATGTGAACAATAATTTTCTAACATCTTAAGAAACATCGATTTGCTAAATGGCTTGGCAAGAACATCATTCATTCTATATGAAAGATAAAAACTACAATCTTGATGCAATGCTAATAATTGGTGTGGAGCTGTTGAAATGTCTAATTTGAACTGTTGCCTTAACACCTAAATTTATATTATAGTAAATCATAAGATTAATAATATTAGAGAAATGAGATTCTAAAAAAGAAACTTACCATCCAACTTTGGTAAAACAATTTTCTATAAATTGCACGTGGCAATATTAGAAAGTCAATCAAATCAGGTTTGCAACGCAGTAACAAAGAGCAGAACTTTATGACTTACCATGAAGACAAGATCATATTTACTAATCTTCATTTGATTAACAGCACCAATTCCATCTACTGCAATGTTGAACCAAATTTTTGGTATACCAAGTCATCATCTACTAGAAGAACTTTTGGAGAAACATATCAGACTGGCACAAATATACTACAGTGAACACGCATACTATTAGAAGTATATTGTGAAGTATTTCCAACACGTAGAGCATTTGCGTCTAAAGCGGAGATGATATTTGATAATGACAAAGCATACGATTGTTCGGCTTATATACACCAAATATATTGTTGGTTAGTGGTCACAAAAATGGTAACCGGTTAACTATAAATATTAAGCGTACGTATGTACCTAAATTTGGTGCGTTTACATTTTTTCTAACAGTAGGTGATATTACAAAATAATTTATGAATTGTGCGTCAATACCATGTAGTGAGCTGACGATCGCATGGGAAGTTGCATATTGTGCATTCTGCATATTAATTTCATAAAGTTGCTGCATGTTAATTTCATCATGTTGAAACCATGATTGTTCGTCTGATGTTTCGATCCTGACTCTCTTATTTTCAGGCGATGAACTAATCAAAGTTAATAATGTTGCTTGGTCGTTATTATTTTTATCATTTGTTGATGAAATTTTACACTTTTTTTTTTTTGTCGCTAAATATTTACAACACATTTAATTATTAGTTTACATTTACACAGAAGAAATTGCGACAGATTAGCTTAGAGACTT